ACCATGGAAATAGAAGAAAGACATATCTTGGATTCCTGGAAGTGGCAAGATAGACAATTACTCCAATTAATAAGCATTTTGGCAGTACAATTCAGTACTTAACCTTTACTGGGTCATGGCTCAGGTAGACTAGGAAATGCACTGAATTTGTTGACTTGTCAAACCATTCTTATTGCTTTAACAGTATCTTCGCATCTTTACACTGATTTCTTCCCCTGAGCTCTGTTCTAAATCTTCGTAAGTCCCCAAAGACAGTGGAACCCAAGTTTCAGCCTGGTTGTGGTTACAGACTTCACCCAGGATCCTTTCTCCACCAGAGCTGAGAAAGTGCAATCCACCAGCTGTCCACTGGCATGGGTTGTTAAGGTTGTCTTATCCCAGTCAGAAATCATACTGATGGCTTCTGCTTTCTCTATCAGTGAAAGAAAATAGGAGAAAAAACCTGCTTCCTTCACTTAACTTAATGCTTCATTTCTTTTCCAAGAGGTGCCACAAAGAGTGAACAAAGAGCTCATGGTAACCAATTCTCTCACACCTAGTGCAGGAAGAACAGCTCAAGGAGAGGTCTTCCCACCCTTTCTTCCCAGGGGGGTTTTGTGGTAGCAGCATTGAAACCAGTGTCTCAACAGCCATCTGTTTCAGTCTATGAATGAATTTGCAGAAGAAGTGGCCTCTCTTCTCAGAACCTCCCATGAAGCGTGTTTCTCCTTAATGTAGTGGTGAGCCAATACGTGCATTTGTGGAATGTGTGCTGAAAGCACTCCGGGTTTGGTAAGTAGCAAATCTCCAGTAGGAGTCATAGCTGCTCCATGAAACAAGAAAAGCAAGGTCACACAAATCTCACTGCCTTCTATTCCATCTCCACAAGATGGAAAGTAGCCAAAGAGATGAGAAATATGTTGTGTGGGAGTGTACAGCACATTTTCAGGCGATCTTCACAGGTCTCTTGCCCGTGGCATGACTGATGTGAGCTTCATGCACCCACACTGTGGAACTCTTCTGTTGTCTGAGGAACACTGTCCATCTCACGTCCTACCTATTGATGGGGTCTTGGTGAACCTGCTTCATGGTCATGCTTAGCTCTGATCCTTTCAATAGCAAGGACTTGAAACTTCAGATATTTTCAGAGGCCCAAGGATCAGACAGGCTTGGTGCAGTTTTGACATCAGACCTTAGGATCAGAGTTACTTTTGGTGCATGAGGGGGTGGTGAGACATTTTAAGTAAGTAGTCAGATGTATTTCTGTCTTCTTGAACCTGCACAATGACATTAGAAGAAAGAGTGTTATGAGTGTACTTACAAGGGAAAGACAAGTTTCTAAAAACTTTCAAAGAAAATAGTCCATAAGGAATTCTGGAAGTTAAAAAGAATTCAGAAGAAAACTGTAGTAAGGATTTGTGACCTGAAGAGAAAAAAATCAAAGGAGGTGAACTTAGCTTTTGAAAGCCAAAGAATGTTGCAGAGTGGTTAGAAGTGTCTATAAGAGAAAGATATCAGATAATAGCATGATTTCGAAAGAAATAGCAAGTCATTCCCTAACAACAATATCGAATGGCTGGAGGCTGAAGTTTGAGAATAAATTGAAGAATTAATTAAACTGCCAGCTAAAATAATTGAAAACAGAGCAATTCCATTCGTTTTGCAGATAAATTACTTTGCAAACAAAAAGTTTTCTCTGTGGAAATGTGGATGTTTTCTATTTTCAGTACAAATATGCTGTTCAATGCCTTTGTGGTTCAACTTTTACTAGCATGTTGCCATTACATTTCTCATTATGCTTTGTTGCAGAAAGGTCTTATGATGTATATAGTTTCTCAATAAAAAGGGACAGACAAGTATAACGAAATATGTAAATTAATCAGATTTGGAAATGGTGAGTTTAAGCAAATCACACTTTCTGTATTTGGAGTTGTTTTCAGAAGCATTCTGAGAATAAATTACACTGATTTCAGGATTCAAAATAATTAAAGAGGAGGAAAAGGTTTTCTAAACAGTTCTAGTTAGTACATGCTAGCTGATTAAGTATATGATTAAGTACTTGTTGCTCATATCCCTCTTAATCAAGACTTGTTATCTTTTTAAAATATACCTTCAGTTAAGAAAAAAGGAAGTAGTGTTCCTTTCATAAACATGAAATTCTGGTTGAATATATACATATACTCTTGAAAACTATGCAAGTACTACATCTGACTTTCCATTAATTAAACTATGAGAATACCTGAAAATTGTAGAGTCGAAGAAGTAGAAAATTATTGCAAAACTGACTGTATTTTTTAACCTACTTATCCGTGCCAACTTTTCTGTCAAATACGCTTCAGTGAATATAATAAGTTTGCATGTCTGCTAATATTTCATAAACTTCATACAAAAAGAGTGTGAAGACAGGTCAGTTGAACTCTATGGACCATAGGTCAATTTGCAAAATGAAAAAGAAAAAAAAAAATAAAGAAAAGAAAAGTCCAAATTCCACAGAGAGAAGGTACCAGCTACATGGAAAACTGGTTAGGTCTTACTTTGATGGAATTCTTTGCTTTGCACTGTTTAGGTGCCTCCTTTGACTTCCTTCCCAGTAATGCTCTAGGGAAAAGTTACACAGATGGCAGAAATTTGCTACAAGAAGATTTTACTGTCATTCGTCCCTTTAATAGATGAGAATGTAATATTCATTAAAAAGATTCCAAACTTCAGTCATCCCCTAATGATCATACAAATTCCCTCATCAATGCATAATAGAACAAAAGAGATCTGTGCATTAAGTATCACTTCTACCACTTTCTATGGCATTTCATTAAAATGTTGTATTTCAAAAAACATTTTGCAGAAGTTACTTATCAGATTTGCTTATGGGACACATCAGAGTAAGGAGGAAATGGCAGAAGCTTCCCTGCAGTTCTAGTTTGTTTTGCTTGGCTTGGCCAGACTTTGATGTGACACAGGTAAAATCCAGCATAAAATATTTATGCTTGGTGTTGATTTTTATTTCTGCAACATAAATGAAACACCAGAACTCCCTTCAGGATGTGGAAAGATTTCATGAAAATCCTTGCAGACCCTACAACTACTAACAAGCAATAAGAACCTCTGTGCTAACTATGCCCACACTCTCACTTGAGCAAAAATAGCAAGATATGTTTAGTTGGAGTGCTAGTTGTTGGTGATTTATCTATCTTTAGGTTGCTTTACATAATATTTTTACTCACCATAGCACAGATTTCTAAAAAAAAAAAAAAAAAATTTGCATCATAAGCACTGTCATCTGCCCAGAGTTATGGACAGTGGTGAGAAAAAGCTGCAATGAATTACACTCGAGAAGTAAATGTTCACAGGAAAAATCTCAAGTCAGAGTTAGGCTGGGAAACTGGGCTGCCAGTAGGAGGGAAGAAAAAGAAGGATAACAATTTGAAATTTAGTTCAATTTAGGTTCCTGCTCTGAATTGCTCTCAGGATGCTCTTTCCCTTGATTACCTGAGGAGTCCACAAATAACTTCATAACTTCGGTAAAGTGTCTTAAAATTTCTTGCATTGACCAAGACCTCTTCTTTCAAGTGCATTTCAGCTATTACATGCCTGGAATAGCTGTGGGGAAATCATATATGATTGCTGCTTTCCTTCTGCTGGAAAAACCTAAAATTTAATTCACCATGAAATAAGACCATATGTTTAAATGATAGCTAAAATGGCTGTGAAGCTACTCAAGCTTTGTGAGAGCAGAAAAAAAACATTAAATGCCTGAGGAGATTAGCAAAACAGCAGACCTCTGATGGTGTGTCCTTCTGGTCAGCGTACCATTCTCAGGGGTTGGGAGAGCATATCACACTGGGAACGATCCCCCACTTAGAAGACAGGGTAGGTCTGATTGCTGTAAAAAGACGTCCAGAGCAGTTCAGTGAACAGCAATAATATTTTTGGGGTGAGAAATGCAATGTAAACCTCTTGACCTTGGTGTGCTTATCCACTTCTGAGGATACGAGTTTCATTTTCTCTTTATAACAGCATGCTGGAAAATAACAAGTTAAGGCTCTGGATTCATCTGAGGTGAGGTTCATCTGTCAGGTACCAAGTTTCTCTAAAAACAATTCAACTTCTACATAACAGAGAGTCAGTAAGCATTAGATTTTTTTTTTTTGCTAACTTTCTTCCCAAGTCTGTGAGTACAAGAACACTTCAATATCAAGGTTTTTCTTTATCTGATGATGACACTGTTCAAAAGGGAGTGGGGTTGAAGTGAGGAATACAAAGTCATGCTTGGGTTACTTTAATCATTAATAACTTGCTCATTTATAATTGGCAAAAAATCCTCCCAGGTTTCAGTTGTTAGTTCAATGGATTAACAACACAAGGACACTGACCTGCCGTCTCTTTGCAGGAGGAACTTGCTGAGTGGACATGCAGAAGCATTGAGCTCATTATGCATACTGGGCAGGGAAGGATCAATTCTACTTCAGAGAGGGAAGGTAGAGAGCAGAAAATGTGGCAGAATTAATGGAAAGGCACCTTTTTTTTTTTTTTTTTTTTTTTTTTTTTTTTTTTTTTTTTTTTT